TCTTGAACAACCATACACAGGTCAAGAACATGTCGTAGTCAGTAATGGTCAGGGTTTTTGTTAGGCAAATTGTTGTCAAATGACCTCTCGGGCGATGATGTAATATCATTGTTTATTCAGTCATCATCGACTAGATAACTGAAGTAAAATATCGACATCACAATTGCTCAAACTAATCCTACAACATATTTGGGTCATTTGAAGTAGCCTAATTTAATCAGTGTTACTCGTGGCCTGACCCATAAATCTTGAATGGCTTCTTAGGTAGATAGCACATTTAATCACTACCTATTAGCTATTGTGCCTAGTTATTACCTAACCTAAAAGCCCACTCATATCCTATATATGTTTTATCTCCCATTTTCTGGCTTTAGAGTGTATGAAATTATATTTACAACTTACTTGTGATGAGAGAAATCGGCGGCTACAGTTACTTGCTTCATGCTTCCACTTTCGTGCATTTTCTTCTTGTTTCTTCTAGCCTTTGTGGCTTGTTCATGTTGCAAAAAAAAAGGGGAGAGATAATTTGGTTCAACAAAAGGTTTCAAAAGCCATTGATGGAAACTTTCCCACTGATTGTTCAAAAGAACAAAAAGAAGAAGCTAATGAGCATGTTTATACCTCAATTATTTTACACTTTGCGATGCAGTTTTGAGAAAAGTGGGTAAACTAAAAACCACTAAAGAACTTTGAAAAAAATTGGAAGACTTGTATTTGCTCAAATCTACCCCAAACAAGCTTTACTTATTTGAGCATTTTTTCAGTTTCAAAATGGATTCTTCAAAAGATCTTGATGACAATTTAGACGTGTTTAACAAACTTGTTCAAGATATTATTAACTGTAAAGAGTCAGTGTCTGAAACATATAAGGCTATTATTTTGCTGACTTTCATATTTGATACTTATAAGGAAGTAAAAAATGCTATTTAGTATGGTAGAGACAGTTTAATGTCCAAAATTGTTATTGACTCTCTTAGAGCTAAAGAACATTATAGAAAAAACGGTGAGATTCACATGATGAGTGATAGAACTCAATTTAGGCAAAACAGTCATGATGGTTACCAAAGTAGTGGCGAGTCAGTAGTAATGGAGGTAGAAAGAAGAACAATGGCAGGCCTAGATCTAAATAGAGGACCAATGTTAAGAAATGCTATGGCTGTGGGAACACGGGGCATTTTATAAGGATTTATATAAAGAGAAAAATATGCAAAATGGTAAAGATAGAGATGAGGTAAATGTATTGTCTTCTATTTCTGATAATGGTGATGGTGAGGTCTATATGATTACAAGTCCTATTGCTTACCCTACTGAATTGAATTTAACTATCAATTCTCTTTTGCATGAATGGATTCTTGATTCTAGTGCATCTTTTCACGTAACATCACAAAAAGAATGGTATTAAAATTTGCATGAATCAAATGATAGGAATTTGTGTTGTGTGACAATTATGCTTATAATGTTGTTGGCATTGGTGATATTACTTTAAAGTTTGATACTTTCTTTTTGCATACTTTAAAAGATGTTAGGTATATATCTCTGAATTGTCCGGAAATTTAATTTCAGTAGGAAGACTTGAGAAAGCTGATTTCACTAGTAAAATTGGAAATTGAGTTTTGAAATTGGTTAA